AATTCGGCCCTTTTGCCTGGAAAATAGTCACATATTAACAAAAAGGATTGGACATCTTGCTTGATTTAAAGTCATGCATTTTTCACAGCTTTAAGTGTAGTTAGGGGTGGCTCTAGTTTAGAACACCAAATACGATTTTTACTGCTGCAAAGTATCGGCTGTCACCAAATAAAAGTGGCTTGTGTGCTCATGTTGATTCATTGGACCGCTGCAACAGGTTTTGGAGGTCCGTTGGCTCAAAGAGCCAACATTCGAAAATTTCATCTAAAAAGTCTACTTTTCAAAACTTKTTTCCTTGCTAGGAAAGTCAGAGATATCAATTGGACCAAAGCCTAAATTTTATACAGTTCTGCCAGCCATGGGTCGATATGGGTTATAGACTTATATTAGTACCTTCTGAAGTTTGGGTCTGGCGCACACGCGGGATTCCCGAACAAATCCCGTGTAATTAAAAATCAAGTGAAGGAATTTTCTTTGCGTTGCCAAGTTAGGGGAGTAAACACCTTATTTTTTCTGCAAACAACACCAACAAAGCTAATGAGGTATCAAAACCTTTTCCTATGGCAATAAAAAAGCCATAGTCSTGACTAAAGGTAGTTTGAAGAAGTCTGAAACAGTTCGCTGATCTTCTGTTTGGACGCAACAATGGCGCAGTGACTTGAATTGACCTTTTATACTTCAKTGAAACMCTACGTGAGCTTCGTCTATCATGGATAAACAGCTTACCATACGCAGACCAGTGCCTCAAAAACACCATGGCCTATCAACTGTSTCTAAAATATTCTTTGGAATGGATATTTTTCAAGGTAAGTCTTGTTTGTATTGTGTAAGACGCATGGCTACCTACTCTCATCACTTCAACGATTCTTGTCAGCTGTCTCGCTAGACCTTTTATAAGTAGAAATAATACTAATGAACTTGAACTAAGGGTATTTAGTAAAATATCTTTCCATTGATATGGATTTTTCAAGTATTATTACGATAAAGGAACTTTATGTTAAGAAATCCGTAGGTTCATCTAGTGGTCAATTTGTTAATTTGCTTTTAATATGGCGCGCGCTGCTCGCGAACCAGAAACATTTTATTCGTTTTGCTGCAAAGTGGCTTTGCTTCTAAATCTTTGGAAAACCGTATTAAAAGATCAACAAACGAGTTTACAATACTAGTACTGTAATRTGATTTTATCTTGTTCACAATTAGTTGATCCATGTCATGAGGCCGCCTTTCAAATTAAATCTAAGTAAAGTCAAGCTTAATTAAATCACAGTGCAAGTCAATTTTTTCAAAATATTAGATATTTTTTAAGCGACAGKGGGAATTTATGCGCATTTTTGTTGGGTTGATTTATTTATTTTGGCTCGTGTCACATTGTGTTAGATTAGGTATTGATTAAGTTATAACATGACCCGTGATTGCTTCCGACAATTTTTTGATTGCATAAAAWAAACATTATTTCATATTGTGATAGAAATTTACATGTAAAAGTGAAAAAAGAAAATGAAAAAATACAAAATGATAGTTCTGTAATAATGATTTGAAAAAAAAAATCTTTTTCACTAATCTTTGTTGAGCACTATATTTGGGTTAACCTAATTTCAACAAAAAACATAATACCACTGATTCCATTTATTTTTGTGGCTTCCGTAGTAAGTATTAGCATTCAAAAAATGCAGGAACTTTGTATTGAGGCTGCGRCTTACCCAAAAAATATATGAATTGTGGCTTTAAGTTTTTTTTTCTGTTTAATTGATACTCTTGAGCTGAGCAGTTTACGAGTCTCTGTGTCTCAATATTGATATCATRCTAAAACAATGACTATTCTTTCAGCTGGCGACACAAAATCTCAGCCTGTTCTGATCAATTAGTACATATATAGCAAAATACGGTCTTCACTCAATTCATGTACTATCTAAATTGTGGTCTATCCTATCAAATAAATCTATTATAGCCTCGAGCCACAAGAATGTTCCATTATATATAATGACAAATTGTACGTGTAGCATACTTTCCTGACCACAGAAACCGCAGAAAACAAAWAAAAAAGACTGATTTTTTATAAGTGCTATCAGTACTCATTTACTCAGTGTTGATTAATATTGTCTCTGAATCCATGGAATTCAAATGAGCACTTGAATGTAATGTTGTATGTTGGCCTTGTTGACAGGTGTGTCAAATGTTTCTGTCATGCAAATTGCACCAAAGAAAAACAATTCATAATCTACWTGTGTAGGTTATTTTATGTTTGGAGTATGATTGGGATTGTAAATGGGGCTAAAATTACAGCATTGYCCTATTTCTGACTGTGAAAATGGGATTCTAGGATTCTTGTCCAAATCTAAAATGGAAAAATAGGATTCTTAATTCCCTTTAGGACAATCTTATAACATTGATTATACTAAATATTTGGTTTTTATATTGTAAAATAATTGTCAAAAAATAAAAGAGAAAAAAAGAAATCAATTTCAGACAAAGTATTCATGTTATAAAATTAGTTTACAACCTCTCCAATAATAACTACAATTTTTACATGCTTTTGATATTGTAAATCTTTCTGAATACAAAATATTTGCTATGAAGAATAGTCATAATATGTGCCAAAAAATATGACCTTTGATGTTTTCATTTCAAAGAACTAGACTTGTCAGTCTAGTGGTTAGGGTATCAGACTTCAGGTCCACACGCATGAGTTCAGTTCTCAGACCTGACATACATGTGGTGCCTAAAGGCAAGATACAATATCATTAGAGACTGTTCGTTTTTTAACAAGGAGATAGGGACAGAGTATTTTTGAGGAAGTTAGGCAGTTGGATTTTAGTGAGGGAAAGGGGGGGATTAATAAATCTCAGTTTCTCAGTATCCAGTTTTAACTTTTTGGTGGACCTCTCTTTTATACCAATAAGGGGGGGGGGGGGGGGRGGGGAATGGAGGCAAATATTTTTAAGAGCTTCCATTAAGGAGAAAATAACAATTCACCCCCTCCCTGGAAAACAAATTGTCCATTAGCCTCACTGGCTCTCTACACACAGGTTGTTATGTGGGTAATTGTCAGACATTGATTGTCGCATTTACTTATTCTGACAAGACCTACAWCACTATTTTGGCAATGACAGTATTTTCTTTATTTTGTAGTTGTAGTTGTTGTGGTRTTCCAGAGTATCATGATTGGTTGTGGGAATTTCAATGCTTACAATAAGCCTGAGGTATGTCAATCTGGATGATGCTAATGATGATGACATTTTTATTGATTGGTGAATGGAATAATGGATAAGATCATCAATTGATTGTGATTGATAACTGATTGGCCATTTGAATGA